AAACAAAAGTGTTGCGTTTATAATTTTGTTCAGTGTATGTATATGCCATCTGACTGAGCTTTCCTTCTGGCCTCAGTTGCTTCTTTTAAAATGAGTCATGGCAACACAGTAATCTACATTATTTTTGTAGTCACTTCTGCTGGAGACTCCTCACAATCTACACTGAATCGCCCACCTTTGCGTTCAACACGGCGGAAGACCTTGAGTGGCACAGCCACAGAATCTTTAGGTGAGTCTAAGGGTGTTGTGTGTTTCTATTGTAGAAACAAAGGCTAGAATTCATGCTAGAATTTGTGTGAAAGATGACTGCTTTATTTCAGATCAGAAGTCTTTGCCAACTTCTCGAAAACGAAATGCATCCCCTCTGGTTAAAGAGGAGGAAGAAGTGTCACAGACAACATCGGCCATAATAACTCAAACCCCAGGTAGATACACTAAACTCACATTATTACTTTGAATGCTGGAGGATTTTGTGTGAAAAACTGCTTTGTTTCAGTTAAGAAGTCATTGACATCTCCACGAAGAAGAAAGACATCCCCCCAGGTTAAAGAACAAGAGGACGTGAAACAAACTTTTTCGGTCACACTTCAAACTCCAGGTAAGATGTTGTGTACTGGGAAACTCTGGATATTATCTTAAACTTTAGATTTGGTAGCTTTCTTTTAGCAGATTTTCTTGCTCAGTCATGTAGTAAATTGCAAATATGACCAAATTATTACCAATGTAATCATTTTTACATGGTATTACAGATAAAATACTAATTAGGAGATTTTTAGTGGTTTGGCCTGAAGTTTTTGGTGTGCTGCATTATTTCAGATAAGACGTCTTCGATGTCACCTCGAAAATGCAAGGCTTCCCCCCAGGTTAAAGACAAGGAGGCGAAGCAAACATCTTCAGTTATTCAAAGCCCATGTAAGATGCGCTGTATAGAGGACAGGCTGCTCAATGTATAATAAAAAAAAATTTCATGATCTAAAAGTGATTACTTCACATTTCTTTAGTTTGTTTCATACTAAATGGCAAAATGTTGTTATTTTGTGGGTTTTTAGCCAAATGCAAAGCCAGGAAGCGTGTGTGCATTGTTGAGCCTGTCCCGGAGGGTACAGTGGTTTGTGACCAGTCCAGCAAAAAATGGAAGCTGGTTGAACTTCTGTGGCATACAGAATTAGATCTGACATATGCAGGTAAGACGTTTGTCAATCAAACCTTGCGGACTTGATTAATGAGATGTAGGTGAATGCATCCATCTATGCATCTTAAATCCTTTTATCATTCAGATGATTAAAATAAAGATAACGGCAATGCATTAAATGTGGCTTATGAATCTAAATATTGTCTGTCTGTATATTCTAATCAAGTGTGCCAGGCAAATCAGCACGCAGACTCAAATGAATGCAAGTACATGTTGCGACTGGTGAGTGCTGTGTTCACACAATGTAGCCTGTCTGTGTGCATGTGTTTGTGAGGAAGGTCCTGATGACTTTGTGTTCTCTTCCTCAGGGTGCTAAAGAGGGACAGCTGTTTAATGAACAGAACTTCCATCTGAGAGCAGCCAAACCTGATGCAGGTCAGTCATTTTAGCACTTGTAATGGATATATAAAGACCCAGTTTAGTGCAGCTACAGGCTTATATAACCACACCTTTCTTTTTCTTTGTCAATAGTGGAGAAATGGTTGAAATTGCACAAGCTGGACTTCCTTGGGATTCCCTCCTGTGTAGGGTTTGGTCTTCATGAAGCATATAGGTATGTGGGTTTGTGTCCTTTTGTTCAGAAACTTTTATAGAATATTACACTACACTACTACAACAAATGTCTGGGCTCAAAAAATATAATTTTTAAAGAAATAATAGTTTTATTCAGCAAGGATGCTGAATAAAAATGTCAGAGAAGACATTTATAGTAATTTATTTCATTTAAATGTTTTTTTTTTACCTTTCTATTCATCAAAGAATCCTGAAAATATGTATGGTTTCCTCCAAAATATTAAGCAGCACTGCTGTTTTCAACATTGATAATATGGACACTAAATCAGTATATTAGTGTTTTCTGAAGGATTGTGGAGTAATGGCTGCTGAAAATTCAACCGTGCCATCACATGAATAATTTTTTTATGTATATTAAACTAGAGAACAATTTTAAATTCAAATAAGATTTCACAATATTACTGTTTTACTGTATTTTTTGATAAAATAAATGCAGGCTTGGTGAGAACAAGAGACTTCTTTCAAAAACATTTAAAA